CAGATAGTTGCAACACAATAGTGTCACCAATGATGGTTACTACACTACACGAAAGTGTCACCACTGATGGCTACTACACAATAGTGTCACCACTGATGGTTACTACACAATAGTGTCACCACTGATGGTTACTACACAATAACATCAGATGGTTACTACACAATAGTGTCACCACTGATGGTTACTACACAACAGTGTCACCAATGATGGTTACTACACAATAGTGTCACCACTAATGGCTACTACACAATAGTGTCACCACAGATAGTTGCAACACAATAGTGTCACCAATGATGGTTACTACACTACACGAAAGTGTCACCACTGATGGTTACTACACAATAGTGTCACCACTGATGGTTACTACACAATAGTGTCACCACAGATGGTTACTACACAATAGTGTCACCACTGATGGTTACTACACAATAGTGTCACCACTGATGGTTACTACACAATAGTGTCACCACAGATGGTTACTACACCATAGTGTCACCACTGATAGTTACTACACAATAGTGTCACCACTGGTGGTTACTACACAACAGTGTCACCACTGATGGTAACTATACAATCATGGGACTCTTGGAGACATCTATGTTTTGATATGTTAGACATGTGGAGGCATCTAGCGTCATCATGATATTTGAGACCGTGGGATCACAGGGATTTGTGGAGACATTTAACGATATTACTATATATTAGACCGGGAAATCACAGGGACTTGTGGAGACATTTAACGATATTATGATATTTGAGACCGAGAAATCACAAGGTCTTGTGGAATAATCTATCGGTATTAATGTTTGTGAGACCGTGGAATCACAGACACGTGTGGAGACATATACCTGTTTTATAATATGTGGGACCAGGTAATCACAGGGACTTCTGCAGAAAGTTTACGATATTATAAAATGTGAGACCGTGGGATGACAGGGACTTGTGGAGACATGAAACGATAATATGATATGTGAGACCGGGGAATCACGGGGACTTGTGGATTAATTAGTGACTGGGGAATTACAGGGACGTGTGGAGACATCTAGCGGTATTATGATATGTTAAGTTCTTAAAATCACAGGGACTTGGGGAGATATCAAACAATAATATGAAATGTGAAACTGGGGAATCACACGGACTTGTGGAGACATCTAACGATAATACGATATGTGAAACCAGGAAATCATAGGGACTTGTGGAGACATCTAACGAAAATATAAGATATGAGATCGGGAAATCACAGGGACTTGAGGGGACATGAAACGATAATACGATATGTGAGACCGGGGAATCACGGGGACTTGTGACTAAATAAGTGATATTCTAACATGTGTGACTGGGGAATTACAGGGACGTGTGGAGACATCTAGCGGTATTATGATATGTTAAGTTCTTAAAATCACAGGGACTTGAGGGGACATGAAACGATAATATGATATGTGAGACCGGGGAATCACACGGACTTGGGAAGACATCTAACGATTATATAACATATGAGACCGGTAAATCACAGGGACTTGAGGGGACATGAAACGATTATATGATATGGGAGACCGGGGAATCACGGGGACTTGGGAAGACATCTAACGATAATACGATATGTGAAACCGGGGAATCACGGGGACTTCTGGATTAATTAGTGATATTCTTATATGTGAAACTGGGGAATCAAAGGGACTTGTGGAGACATCTAACGATAATATAACATATGAGACCGGGAAATCACAGGGACATGAGGGGACATGAAACGATAATATGATATGTGAGACCGGGGAATCACGGGGACTTGGAAAGACATCTAACGATAATACGATATATGAAACCGGGGAATCACGGGGACTTGTGAATTAATTAGTGGTATTCTAATACTTGAGACTGGGGAATAACAGACTTGTGGAGTCATCTATCGGCGTTATTACATGTGACATCGGGGAAAAACAAAGACTTGTGGAGTCATCTAGCGGCGTTATGACATGTAACACCGGGTAATCACAGACTCGTGTGGAGACATATAGCGGTATTATGATATGTGAAAAAGCCGGATCACAGGTACCTGTGGAGACATTTAACGATATTATGGTATGTGAGACCGGGAAATTACAGGGACGTGTGGAGACATCTAGCGGTATTATGATATGTTAAGTTCTTGAAATCACAGGGACTTCAGGGGAAATGAAACGATAATATGAGATGTGAGACCGGGGAATCACAGGGACTTGTGGAGACATCTAACGATAATATAACATATGAGACCGGGAAATCACAGGGACGTGAGGGGACATGAAACGATAATATGATATGTGAGACCAGGAAATCACAGGGACTTGAGGGGACATGAAACGATAATATGATATGTGAGACCGGGGAAACACACGGATTTGGGAAAACATCTAACGATAATAGGATATGTGAAACCGGGGAATCACGGGCACTTTGGATTAATTAGTGGTATTCTAATACTTGAGACTGGGGAATAACAGACTTGTGGAGTCATCTATCGGCGTTATTACATGTGACACAGGGGAAAAACAAAGACTTGTGGAGTCATCTAGCGGCGTTATGACATGTAACACCGGGTAATCACAGACTCGTGTGGAGACATATAGCGTTATTATGATATGTGAAAAAGCGGGGTCACAGGTACCTGTGGAGACATTTAACGATATTATGTTATGTGAGACCGGGAAATTACAGGGACGTGTGGAGACATCTAGCGGTATTATGATATGTTAAGTTCTTGAAATCACAGGGACTTGGGGAGATATCAAACAATAATATGAAATGTGAAACCGGGGAATCACAGGGACTTGTGGAGATATCTAACGATAATATAACAGATGAGATCGGGAAATCACAGGGACTTGAGGGGACATGAAACGATAATATGATATGTGAGACCGGGGAATCACAGGGACTTTAGGGGACATGAAACGATAATATGATATGTGAGACCGGGGAAACACACGGACTTGGGAAAACATCTAACGATAATAGGATATGTGAAACCGGGGAATCACGGGGACTTGTGGAGACATCTAACGATAATATAACAGATGAGACCGGGAAATCACAGGGACTTGTGAAGACATCTAACGATAATATGATATGTGAGACCGGGAAGTCACAGGGACTTGGGGAAACATATAACGGTATTATGCTTTGTGAGACCGGGAAATCACAGGGATTTGTGGAGACATCTAACGATAATATAACAGATGAGACGGGGAAATCACAGGGACTTGAGGGGACATGAAACGGTAATATGATATGTGAGACCGGGGAATCACACGGACTTGGGAAAACATCTAACGATAATACGATATATGAAACCGGGGAATCACGGGGGCTTGTGGATTAATTAGTGGTGTTTTAATATGTGAGACTGGGGAATAACAGACTTGTGGAGTCATCTAGCGGCGTTATTACATGTGACATCGGGGAAAAACAGAGACTTGTGGAGTCATCTAGCGGTGTCATTTCGTGTGACACCGGGGAATCACAGACTCCTGTGAAGACATCTAACGGTATAGTGATATGTGAGATATAGGGGATCACAAGGACTTTTGGAGACATTTAACGATATCATGGTATGTGAGACTGAGGGATCTCAGGGACTTGTGGAGACATCTGACGATATTACGATATGTGAGACCGGGAGATCACGGGGCCTTGTGGAGACATTTAATGATATTATGGTATGTGAGACTGAGGAATCGCAGAACCTTGTAGAGACATTTAAGGATATTATGGTATGTGAGACTGAGGGATCTCAGGAACGTGTGGAGACATCTAGCGGTATTATGATATATGAAACCGGGTTATCACAGGGCCTTGGGGATACATCTAGCGGTATTCTGATATATCCAACTATATAATGACATGTGAGACCGGGGGATCACAGGGACTTGTGGAGACATTTAACAAGGAATCATAGCGACTGGTGGAGTAATCTATCGGTATTTTGATAACTGATACCAAAGAATCCCAGGGACTTGGGAAGACCTCTAGAGGTATTTTGATATGTGATACCGGGGAATTACTAGGGCTTAGGAAGTCGTGGAACGGTTTCTAGATATAAGGTCAAATGGGGAATTCGGTATGACTTGTCGTGTGAACTAATGGTATCATGATATTTTATCACACCGGCGAATCAGATGGACTTGTGGAGTTATTAAGCGGTAAAATGATATGTGAGATCGAGGAACACAAGGGCGTGTGGAGACATCTAACGATATTATGATATGTAAGACCGGGAAATTAAACGGGCGTGTGGAGACACCTCATGGTATTATTATAAATGACATCGGGGAATCCCAGGGACTTGGGTAAACACAGGGACGTGTAGAGACATCTAGCAGTATTATACTAATACGTGACACCAGGAGACCACGGGAACTTCTATAAACTATTAGTATTCTGATATTGTGTCACATCAGGGAATTTCAGTGATTTGTCGTGTCAATTATTGGTGTCTCCTGATCATATGTCACACCGGGGAACAAGATTTACTAGAAAAAAAATCTCAATATGATACAGGTAATGAAAAAGTAATAATATTCTCAACCTGGTATCTCACATCTAACACGTATCTTTTCTTTTAAATCTGTAAATGTTTCTTTTTATTTATTCATATTTCATGTGAGATCGCAAAATACATTTGATACATCGTAACCCGTCTGAGAAACGATCAACGATCATTGGCGAAATTCTGTCAAATTTTGTGTATCCTTGCTTTTAAAAAGAATCCCCGAAATTGTATTTGTGAAAATATGGGGCATGTACACCGGACCGACAGATGATCTCATCTTCTTGATCGTCAAATTTGCGTAAATACGTGAGCATTCAAGTATTCTGTATCATCAGACCCCTAAGTATTCTGACACTTTTTTTGACACATATATAACAGAAAAACATCAACAGAAAAATTAAAACACCAATATAATTTCAAAGTATTTTATTGCTGATTCAATGACAAATATACAAAACACACTATACACAGATAGGGATACAGTATACATGTACATTATAAGACATTGGTCACCTCTAAATACACAACATAACTTTATACTGATTTTAACTGCAATCAGAAAGAAAAAAAGGAAGACAAAGTTTTAACACATTAAAGTGAATTTCATACTGATTTTACACACAGATGTAGTTTACAAAGGGAACGATGTGGGTGGTGACACCAATACATTTTGCTGACGAACATCGTTCATTTAAACGGTATTGTTTCTGTTACATGTAAATATTATTTACAAAGTTTGTTACCAGGGTAACTCACTAGAATAACATATATCTGTCTAGTTCTGTCTGTAGTAGTAGTGTCAACACACTGTACTGTAGTAGTACTGTTACACACTGTACTGTAGTAGTACTGTTACACACTGTACTGTAGTAGTACTGTTACACACTGTACTGTAGTAGTACTGTCACACACTGTACTGTAGTAGTACTGTCACACACTGTACTGTAGTAGTACTGTTACACACAGTACTGTAGTAGTACTGTTACACACTGTACTGTAGTAGTACTGTTACACACTGTACTGTAGTAGTACTGTTACACACTGTACTGTAGTAGTACTGTTACACACTGTACTGTAGTAGTACTGTCACACACCGTACTGTAGTAGTACTGTTACACACTGTACTGTAGTAGTACTGTTACACACTGTACTGTAGTAGTACTGTTACACACTGTACTGTAGTAGTTTTACATTGCTACCCCCAAACCTTACCCACAGAACATCCTCCCTGTCTATACCTACAGCCACTGTCCCCACTCTGTCTGTGTATATGATCCTGAGGAACTCACCATCTCCACTGAGGAGTAGGACCCTACGGTTGTCATAGTCCCCTATGATGAGGTTCCCCACACTGTCATACACCACACCATAGGGGTCAAATGTTACACGTCCTGTTTGTGGTGTTTGTTTATATGTACTGGGGATGTCACCTCTATATACAAACACTTCCTGGAAGTCAGTATCCATGACAACAACACGTCTGTTTCCATCACCACCGTCACTTTTACTGCTGAAATCAATCACTGTGACATTGTGAGTTACTGGACACTCTGACATCCTCCATGGTGTATACACTAATGGTTTCCCAGTCCCTACAGCCATTGTAGTGAGTACCATTTGACCTTGTGTAGTAAATTTACAGATGTGTTTCTTCATCCCCACAATGATATGGTTACTGGCTGTAACACATATACACTGGGGTCTCTCCTTGGTTCTGAATTTGTTTGTAAGTCGTCCTGATACCAGCTCCATGATGTTGTTTTTACTGTCACAGACCCACAGTGTGTGTGTTGTGGGTGATAGACTGATGTCAGTGATGTTAGTCGTGTGTGTGACCTTCTGTACTACTTTACCCTCCCTGTTAAGGAGAGTTAATGTATCACTGTAATCCCTGGTCCACACCTGACCATCAGTGGTGGGACATATAGACCCAATGTCACATGGAGACCTCCACTCCTTCACCACTTTGGTCTCTGACAGTAGTGCTTTACTTATCACTGCTTTCTTCCCTTTTACTCCTGTTTGTTGTTGTTTAGAGGATTGTCCCTGGTCATGTGATACTGAGATTGACCGATCCTGGTCAGTTGTTTGACCTGAGGTGATAATCGTCCCTACGGCCTGTTGTAGATGATGTTGTGGATTTGTGTTAGGTGTGAAGATGACCGTACCCAGGACAGGTTTGACAGGGAGATGTAATGAGGAATGTATATCTGTGTCATAGATGTCCAGGTGAGAACCACGTTGTAGAGTCACCTTACATTCCTGTAGTTGTTGTTTCAGCTGTCTGTTGTACATCTCCAGTTCTTGTTTGTATTTCTGTATCATCCTGGTGTTGTCCTCTTCCATCTGTTTATACACTGAGAGTGTCTGTGCTGTAAATAGATCGAGTTCATGTTTTAGTTGATCTGTTTGATTTTTTAGTTGCTGTGAAAGTTTCTCAAAATGACTGGTATTGTCTTTGAGTAATGAATCAGCAGAAGTTATATATTCCCTGACTTCTACCAGGTCATTTTGTTCTGTTTTGTTGATAAAGTTTGTAATTTCTTGTTTCTTTTGAGGAGTAATTTCACTGAGTTCACAAAGAGGGTGACTTCTGTGAGTTGTTGACAAACATGCATGGCAAATGAGTTGATCACATTTCTCACAGTAAAGATCCAAGCGCCTCCCTTTGTGGTCACTACAGGTGGACTGGCCTTTAGGACGGAAAGCGGTTTGGCTGATGGGTGTTGCCATGATGAAGATCTGAGAAATCTGAAAGAACAAAAATTACTAGTTATATAAATTTACAGATATTGAAATAACAAGAAACTAACACTCTCACAAAACAACAAAACACCCCAGAGTGATATTGGTACTCACCATTGTTTGATATTAATCTGTTATTCAAAAGTTGGATTGTTCCTTTCTTTTCTCTTCTTGACTCTTTTTAAAATTGCTTTTAGTTTAAAAGTTATTTTAACAAAGGCCTAGTGGCCTTGACAATCACCTGAGATAAGCAATATTGAATAAAAAAGGTTAAAGGGTAGTTATCAAGTGTCATGAAACAGAAATTGTGACACTGAATACAGTAAGTCAGTGCCAATATATGCATATCATCAAAACTGTCACCTTATAGTAATAATCCTTACCAAGTTATTTCTAGTGGGAAATACACCAATGTTATCTCAAAAATGCAATCTTTCTATGAAAATTACAGTAAAGTTTAAAAAAAACTTCCCTGGGAAGAAATGTGTGACCCATTTTGGTTATTGAAGCATTTTCCATGCTTCCATTTATACAGACCATTTTATTCTACCATAATCTGGGCACTGAGAAAATTTTTTTTGACCCCATTTCCAAATGAAATCAAACAAATCATTCTTAAAAATCTTGTTTCTCCTGTATAAACGTTAGTAAATTTTACCTCCTCCATACAGAGAAATGGGAGACCCTGGGGTCATGAGACTAACGATAAAGCACCTTGAGATGTATTTGGGTCTTAAGAAGATTTTTGAAATCTAAGTCAATTTGACCAATTCTGGCCCATCCCTCAGGCCTCTGTTGGGTGGGGACTGTATAATTCACACTTTAGGTTCATGTAAGGCCAGGGGAGGTTTCCGCAAATTTTCATTGAAATCACATCAGGAGTTTTTGAGAAGAAGTTGAAAATGATTGTTTACGGACGCACAACACTGGATGAAGGTGATTGCAATAGATCACCTGGAGACTTTGTCTAAGATGACCTAAACACATTTATTTCTCTAATCAGTTCAATTACTAAAGGAGCAAAATTTGGGATAAAACGGGAACCTACATATGAAATTTGAGAAAGATCTGTTAAGTAATTCTCAAGAAATTATAATAACAAACTTTCATTGTCAAAATGCAAGATGGCTGCATCTGTTAATAGCCATTTTGTTTCTTCTTATCAAACCCAAAATCAAAAGACAAAAGGGCACAACTAGGGACTAAGAGAAACCTACATGAAAAATATCAATCCAGTACTTCTCAAGAAATAGTGATATCAAGACCTGTTCACAGACGATTGACAGACAATGGATGGACGACAGACCACAGATGTAGGGCATTCTAAATAAATCACCATCTAATGATGGTGTGCTGATGAAAAGTGAACAAAGAATGTCAGTGAGTTTTTGTGACATTAATGTTACTGATATATGTATATTCTGGTACATTTTACAACTTATTCCTGATTGCATTGTTGTAACCTCATAAAGCAGTTATGATAAGACAATTTTGTGAATAAGTATCTCTCACCAAATCAAGTTGGATAAACTTTTTTCTTAAATGTAGATCAAAGGTCTAAATGTAGGTCACAGTAACCTACATACGGGACACATTTCCTTACCAAGGTGAACCTTATATTCAAAATATAAAGTTTTAGTTACATGTAGTGTAGGCGATATTTCTCAAACACATTCCCAAAATTAATTACTTTCAAAACTCACCTTTTTATATTTACCTTCAGCTGAACACAAATGCCACCTTTAAATGTTGCTTAAAATTCTGAAAATAGGAAAAAAAAATATCTGTAACCATTCTGAAACACATGTTCATCATCAAATAATTACAGCCTTTGAGTGCAGATGTAAATACCAATGTCAGTACAAGTGATTTGTACCTAACAATCAGAATAGGACATACATAAAAGTGTTTGTTTTACCTCAACATAGGACACAGTTCACAGAACAGGACACAAGTGTTTATTCCAGTCCTCAGAACAAGACATAATTATTTGTTCTAGTCACTAGAACAACAGCATTTAACTTGCCACTGTAAGACCTATTTGCTAATAATATATGGTACACAAAATATTTCATGAATGAAGTGAAATCATTTTTTTATGTTTCTATAAGAGTTACTTCCCTTGATTATTCACTTGAAGACAGACATACCTTGTATCTCACAGATCAATCCATTTAACACATCCACTTACCAAATGTTATGTCCAAACTTTCAACTTGACAAGTGTTTTCTGTTTCTTCAATAATTGCCTCAAAACACCACCATATTTAACCTAGATTGAAAAGATAAGAAAAACTTATACAATTCTACATAGGGGACAAATGAAAATGTTATGATTGCCTGATGTTGTACAGGCACTATATAGTTTAGCCTCAGACTAATTGAATCAGAATTTGTTTGGTTTTTTGTTATGATTGGAATATTATGTAACTGAAAAAATGTGATCAAATATCAACCACTGGAAACCTCTACGTTACCACTCAAGATAGAAAATTAGTTATCAACCAATATACAACTACAAAAAAATATATACTGATATAATAGTCAAACCAAGTTACCACTCAATATGGAAAATTACTGTTATCAACCAATGTATAGTTACAAAAAATATATACTGATATAATAGTCAAACCAAATTACCACTCAATATGGAAAATTACTGTTATCAACCAATGTATAGTTGCAAAAAATAAATACTGATATAATAGTCAAACCAATCTGGGGTCTAGTGGAGTTCCTGAATCTTACAATGTAATATTATTATCCATTTAGAAAATGTGGCTTTAATGCTGGACAACAGATGAACACATTTGAGCAGTAGAACTTGCACACACTGTATATATATCAACATCGTGTATTTTTAAAGCCATTCCAGAATGAGCCTCCAGCTTAAACTATGTTGGTCCAATGAAGCCTACATCTCTGTTAAAGTACATTTGTACTCTTGAGGTATCATGAAATAGACAACCCTGAAACTAACATTTTCATGTGGATTACATTTCTCAAAGTCAAAGTAGTGGGCAACAAGGAGACTAGGACTGTTTCATGTAAAAGTAGAAAATTTAAATAAATGGTTTCTGAAAATTTATATTATGACCAAGCAGGTGTGCTGAAAAAAGCTATTACAGTACTGTTCCTTTGGTCAGGTGTGCTGATGTCAATGACTTAGTGTTTTTTTTTTTTTTTAAATAAATATTTTATATACCAGTATATAGAATTTGCATTATGGAGCCAAAATGCCAAGAGGGTAACTATGCAGTGCTACATGTATGTTTAGTAATACATTAAAGGATACTCAGTTTTAAAAAGACTGCTTGAAAACTGATATATTAAAAGGCTAAAATGAACAAAAGGCAACAATATAAAATGATCACATACAGTTTATGATGTTTATTCTCTTTTAGAGTTTGTTTTGGGCCTGAAAGCCAATGTCTGTTTTTAGGATATTATTCATTATTATTACTCAAAATTGCAAAATATTGAACTAATAATTCTAAGAAGATATGAACTATTTCCAATAGCAAAATAAATAATGTTATATTCAAATATAAACTATAGTAAAGTTTACTTCTCTCCAAGGGAAAATGTGAGACCCTAGGGCCATGAAATTCACACTTTTGGTAAAGCATCTGAAAGCCTTTCCATCCATAAATGGGATTTGAAAAGATCTTTTTTTAAAGTTTTTAAGACCCCTTTTTGGCCCTACCCTGCAGGCCCCTTTGGGGTTGGGGACCATATCATTTACAATTTTGTTAAGTTATGGAAGGTTTTTGTAAAATTTCATTGAAATCTGTTTGAAAAAAGGGCGTCAAAATAGATAACCCTGGGAATTTGCCTTTTATATTAAACAACAATTTGAATATGTTCACCACACTGAACTTGGCTTTTGGGTTGATGTTTTATTCACCATCTTTCAAGCACTGCCTTTGGATTTTTTATCATTATTATTTTTGCTCCATATAAAGGCCCTCGTCATCCATCAGCTGAATGGATCATTGGGATACTTTATATCATCATTCTTATTCACAGTTTGTAACATTGTCTTTGTTTTATGTTCTATATACCATATATATGTGATGCAACTCACTTATTCAGGTGCTCTTAAAAAAGAAGAATTTGGGACTTAAAATCAGAGATTGAACAGTTACCTCCCTTCCCTTATATGATTTCTTTATATTTTGATGATTCAAAAATCTAAAGCAGTATTCCAGAGGAGTTTAGAGTTTGCTCGATCAGGCCCTTGGAAATTTTACAAATTGATCAAGTGACTGTTGAAATTCTTAAAGGAGGGAGTAATAAAAAAACACCTTGCCCCTGCCAAGGTTTAAACTAATGACCCTGCGGTCATATATAGTCACTCTACTTTTCAGCTAAAAGGGAAATCCTCACTAGCTAGTTAAGTGACTTGTACTCAACTTCAACACTAATTCCTTCTTCAAGCAGTTTTCAACCCCCTACACAACAAGAGCACGGCTTGTTTTATAATGCTAAGAAAGCATCTCAATCATCTACAGCTATACTTATCTGCTCGACTTAAAGAACATTCTCAATTGATGAGGCTTAAGAGATATAGGACTTGTGCTCCTAACTTCCTGTTTTTTTATAGAACAAGATCAGGGGAGAAACCATGATGAAACACATATGGTACACATGGTATATATATATATAGATATATAAATCAAAATTGATTATCTGAAACTGAAGGTTTTAGTTTCTAATAACATTTTGTAATAAGGAGGTAAATAATAGTTAATCTGGATGTAGAATCTTAATTGCCACAACACTGCAAGGTGAGAAAAAAGTTTTCTGTTAGAGTTACCTCCCTTATATCACCAGATATATATTTGGGTAAAAATATCATTGTTCGAACTAAAATATACTTAGCAAGATACCTGTCGATTTAGAATGAAATATTTTGACTAAATGCAAATAATCTGGTACCAGATGAACGATTTACAATATGCTTTCCCAGTGCTCCAGATAACTTTTTGACATGTGGGGTTTTCACTCCTACCTTTATAAATTGAGGGGTTTTTTCACCCCTGCCTTCATCAAGTGTATGGGTTTTTCCATATTAGGGTAACACTGAATTTGTAAACATTTTTGACAGCGCCATATTTGCTATGCGACTGGTTTATAATCACGATCAAGAAAGCGCTTGTTACGAGTTTCGTTTACTTGATAAGTGTCTGTTTGACTTAGATTATTGAGTTTTCTAACTACGTAATATTGGAGCCGGACATTGACGCAGAGTCCGGATTTCGCACGGGTTAATGACGCAAATCTTATTTTTTTCCTAGCGTGAAATTAGAAATATTGTGCGTGAAAACGCATTCACGCAGGCTATCTGGAGCACTGCTTTCCTATGAAGTGTATAACTATAACAGAACACATGTCAGCAGAATATTGCCAATTATCCGCGAGGTGAAAACACAGTAATGAAAATCTCATATACTAAAAAAATCAATGACTTAATACAACAATAAGGTTTCATCAACGTGGAGTTACTTCTACTTATTCGCTTTGTCTGTGCCTTATTTCACTCTTACATTTCAGCCATTTTAAGCGACTATAAACCTTTCCAAGCTTTTGAGGTTTTATTGACAGAACATAATCTGTCAGACTCCTGTGTGGACTGACATCAGGAACGTAAAATCACTTTTATTCTCCGATCAGTTAAGCCATTACCTCTCCCATATATTTGCATTTTGAAAATGAAGGTACAGAACTAACAATGTCGTCATGAGTGTCACGAAGAACATTCTCATTCAAGGGGAACTCTGGCTTAACTATTAAACCACGGACTACAGAAAACCATGTCCGTAGTTTTACCTGATTTCTTTCTCGACGTCATCATTTATAAACGATTTTAAAAAGGAGTAATTCCAATTCGCATCTTCAATATCAATCGCGCCTTTTTGCCTGGAATCTTCATCTTCCATTCCGCTGTCGTCTGCACAGACTTTCCCGTCACCGTCGTCGAAACGCTTGAAAGTCTTTAACTTGATGTAGGGGAAGTAACTCTGATAATATCACGACCTATTTCTTACTGCATTCTTTGGTAAAAAATTATTTGTTTTGTTTTTTTAAAGCTTTTATACTTTTACAATAAACAGTCTTGCTTCTTCGAGAAGAAAATATTTTCTTCTTATATCCATTACAGTATAGCAGAATAATTTCTGACTTGCTTGATGGTTTAACGTTAATTAATTCACACATATACAAGACCTTCCTAAAATGTGTTGTTGTTGAAAATAAAGAGTAAAAAAGAAAGAAAGATGCGTAAAAACTATGGGAGTGAACGGGAGGTGAAGAAATGAAATATATGAGAATAAATGTTGAGTAAAATGCCCATACACGAAAATACAGGAATAAACTCAGGACAGTTTTCTAGAAACAGATTAATGTATACCTCCCTGTATTGGCCCATCCCCTACCTCAGCTACTGCCAGCTTTTTCTATCTAAAATATATATTGCCGTTTTGTATCAATAACATGTATGTGCTCAAGCGCTACCATCCCATACACTAAAATATTTAAACTGACATGTATATGTACTGGGGGTAGAAAGTCTATTTTAGATCAATTCTGAATTACCCAGGACACGGTGCATGAATCTGATGGCAGTAATCTTATATATTCTATGTCCGGAAGACAACGCAGCGAAACAAATTAATACTGATTCTGTCTCAAAATCTTTGACACGTTTTCTTGTCATATCAATGCTCTTTAGCTGTCTCTGACAACTTTTTATCTATTTATTTAACATGATCTAAGATGAAAGAAAAAAAATACAATTGAACTATGATTAAATTTACAGGTAACACGTTTTAAATTGCATTCAAATTACCTGGTTAATCTACAGACCAAGGATCAAAATATCGAACAAGTATCTGCAGGCATTTGTAAATAACCATGTAAGTCATGAATCTTGAGTCCAAAATCCTAATTTTTTTACCATAACTGTCACCCGATTTTAAAGAAACTAAAAACCAACATAAAAATGCTAGGTATTTGATTTCTGAGTTAAAATCTTACTGAAGTAATTTTCATGGGCAGATGACGAGGGATAAATCACACATTGTGATGTAAAGTACTTTTTGTGTTAAAGAATTTATTATAAACTGAATAAAAATATCAACAACAACTTCCTAAGTAATATTTCTCCCTACCACAACAGCTGTTGTACTTGTGTCTTTATAGGTAAGTATAGATAGGTACGTGTGTAACTAGTAATTAGACACACCTGTACTGTAGAAAGAACACATGTGTAAGAGGTAACAAGACATACGTACGCTGTAATTGAATATACCCTCGTATTGAATAAAAAAACAAAATTGCATTCCACCTCAATATACCTCAGTACACAACTGTTCTGGGTCACCTGTTGTAAGACATATTACTTCATAACCCTATCCAACACTCGCCCTTCACCCTATCGCAATTCAATTTCAATTATTTTATTACCTTAGGCCTTCCGACCTCAATCCACACCCTCTCAGAACCGTCTGTTGTATCACTTACATCTTACACACACAACCCCACCCTACCTTGCCTCACCCGAATATACCTGGATGTTTACGGTGGTGAGGTATGAGGAAGCTAACTCTGCTACTCAACACTTCTGTTTACCTAAATTAACACACATACATGGAAAGCATAAAATACAAACACTACAAAGATAATCTATACTCACAACAAACATCCATACACACCATAACAAACATTCATATACACAATTACAAACATCCCTACACAACATAACAAACATCCATACAAACCATAACAAACACCCATACACACCATAACAAACACCCATACAAAAAATAACAAACACCCATACACAAAATAACAAACACCCTTACACACGATCACAAACACCAATACACACCATAACAAACATTCATATACACAATTACAAACATCCATACAAACCATAACAAACACCCATACACACCATAACAAACACCCATACACAAAATAACAAACACCCATACACATGATCACAAACACCCATACCTACCATAACAAACATCCATCAACAACATAGCAAACATCCATACACACAATAACAAACATCCGTACACACAATAACAAACATCAATACACACCATAACAAACATCAGTACACACAATCACATATATCAGTACACACCATAACAAACATCCATAAACACCATAACAAACATCCATATACACAATAACAAACATCCATACACACCATAACAAACATCCATACACACCATAACAAACATCCATACACATCATAACAAACATCCATACACACCATAACAAACATCCATACACATCATAACAAACATCCATACACACCATAACAAACATCAATACACACAATAACAAACATCCATACACACCATAACAAACATCCATCAACAACATAGCAAACATCCATACACACCATAACAAACATCCATACACATCATAACAAACATCCATACACACCATAACAAACATCCATACACACCATAACAAACATCCATACACACCATAAGAAACACCCATACACACAATAACAAACGCTCATACACACCATAACAAACATCCAAACACACAATAACAAACATCCATACACATAATAACAAACATCCATATACACAATACTAAACATCCATACACACCATATTAAACATCAATACACACAATAACAAACATCCATACACATCATAACAAACATCAATACACACCATAACAAACATCCATACACACCATAACAAACATAACATAACATCCATACACACAACATACACATACACACCATAACACCACACCAATACACACCATAACACACCATAACAAACATTCATACACACCATAAAAAACATCCATACACATCCAACAAACATCAAACATCCATACACACAATAACAAACATCCATACACAACATCCATACACACCATAACAAACATCCATACACAAAATTACAAACATCCATACACACCATAATAAACGTTCATGCACACCATAAAAAACATCCATATACACAATAACAAACATCCATACACATCATAACAAACATCAATACACATCATAACAAACACCCATACACGCCATAACAAACATCCATACACACCATAACAAACATCCATACACACCATAACAAACATCCATACACACCATAACAAACATCCATACACATCATAACAAACATCAATACACATCATAACAAACATCCATACACACCATAACAAACATCCATACACACCATAACAAACATCCATACACATCATAACAAACATCCATACACATCATAACAAACATCAATACACATCATAACAAACACCCATACCCACCATAACAAACATCAATACACACCATAACAAACATCAATACACACCATAACAAACATCAGTACACACAATCACATATATCAGTACACACCATAACAAACATCCATACACACCATAACAAACATCCATACACACAATAACAAACATCCATACACACCATAACAAACATCCATACACACACAATAAATATCTATACACTCCTCAAGTTGTACATTATTTGTGAGAGAAAAGAGATATCGGACTTGACGGGGCTTAATTCCTCCTCTCTCCGGTATATTGTACAATTTTTGGCTCATCTCCGTAATATTTTTTGTAGTTTGTTTACATGTTCGGTGATAGGACATATCTGTACTGAAGATAGACATACATACGTATTTGTTAATAAGGCAAACCAGTACTGTACTAGATGTAAAAACACATGTGTATTAGGTAATGAGACATATGTTTTCTGTAATTAAATACACACGTATGTTGGGTAAAAAGTTATACTGCATTCCACCCCACTATACTTCACTACACAATGGTTCTGGGTCATCTGTTGTAAAAATAAATTAGTTTATAACCCTACCTCACCTCTCACCCTCTGTGGGCTGTCTCTTGTATCCCATACAACTTATACAAACCATCCCGTCCTACCTTACTAAGCCAAATACATTATAACTTACCTGGATGTTTACGGAGGTGAGTTATGAGGAAGCCAATTCAACTACTCAACACTTCTGTTTGTCAAAAGAAACACACATACAAATGTCTTATTGCTGTGGACCAAGTTATTGTTCCTCTCTTCCCCCAAATAAACAGATGAATGCCTGGTACTGGGGATCTACATGTACAAACTAACAAACAGATAATATTAGTTCCTTGTTGTGTGTCGTTGCTAGCAGTGACGATCAGGTGGGTAGATTGCACATGTGATCTGTTGAGGTTATTGTTAAACTTCTGCAGTTCAACTGCTGCGCAGTGTCAGATAATTATTGTGTTGACGCGAGGCAGTTATAGCTCATTCTCACTAGATATCGAGGTTAATCCTGCCATACATCAGTATGAATATTAACTTTCCCTTTTCCTCATATTTTGATAGAGAAGCATTTCAGTACTTAATATTTCCCTAGTGAATTTGCATTTTTACTTTCTGCCGTTTCCAATACACAGCAAATTGAATTCTAGATTTTACAAACTCGACTGTAATAATTTCCATTACTTACTTACCATGACGGAAATCTTCATATGAGGTCATCTTTGTCAAGGAGAAACAACATCGTCAAACAACCACCACCATGAACAGTACAAATATAGCAAACATCCATACCCTCGGTAACAAACATCCATACACACATTAGCAAACATCCATATACACGATAACAAACACCCATATACACAATAACAAACACCCATATATACCATAACAAACATCAATACACACCATAGCAAACATCCGTACACACCATAACAAACATCCATACACACAACAGCAAACATCCATATACACCATAACAAACATCAATACACACAATGACATACATCAGTACACATCATAACAAACATCCATACACATCATAACACACACCCATACACACCATAACAAACATCCGTACATAACTTAACGAACATCAATACACACAATAAAAACACCCATACACACCATAACAAACACCCATATACACCATAACAAACACCCATATACACCATAACATACATCCATACACACCATAACAAACATCCATAAACACCATAAAAAACATCAATACACACAATAACATACATCCATAAACACCATAACAAACATCCATACACACACAATAAATATCTATACACTCCTCAAGTTGTAAATTATTTGTGAGAGAAAAAGAGATATCGGACTTGACGGGTCTTGATTTCTCCTCTCTCCGGTATATTGTACAATTTTTGGCTCATCTCCGTAATATTTTTTGTAGTTTGTGTACATGTTCGGTGATAGGACATATCTGTACTGAAGATAGACATGCATACGTATTTGTTAATGAGGCAAACCAGTACTGTACTAGATGTAAAAACACATGTGTATTAGGTAATGAGACATATGTTTTCTGTAATTAAATACACACGTATGTTGGGTAAAAAGTTATACTGCATTCCACCCCACTATACTTCACTACACAATGGTTCTGGGTCATCTGTTGTAAAAATAAATTAGTTTATAACCCTACCTCACCTCTCACCCTCTGTGGGCTGTCTCTTGTATCCCATACAACTTATACAAACCATCCCGCCCTACCTTAATAAGCCAAATACATTATAACTTACCTGGATGTTTACGGAGGTGAGTTATGAGGAAGCCAATTCAACTACTCAACACTTCTGTTTGTCAAAAGAAACACACATACAAATGTCTTATTGCTGTGGACCAAGTTATTGTTCCTCTCTTCCCCCAAATAAACAGATGAATCCCTGGTTGTGACTTGGGATCTACATGTACAAACTAACAAACAGATAATATTAGTTCCTTGTTGTGTTTCGTTGCTAGCGGTGACGATCAGGTGGATAGATTGCACATGTGATCTGTCAAAATTATTTTTAAACTTCTGCACTTTACCTGTGTCACAGTTTTAGATAATTATTGTGTTGATGCGAGGAAGTTATAGCTCTTCTCACTAGATATCGAGCTTAATCCTGCCATACATTAATATAAAAAATAACTTTCCATTTTCCTTCACATTTTGATAGAGAAGCATTTTAGTACTTAAAATATTTCTAGCGAATTTGAAATTTTACTATCTCCAGTTGGGCTTTGACCTAGAAACATCTTTCCACAAAAAAATCTGCCTCTCGGACTTTTGGTTTACCAATATTTTACAGGTTTCAAAAAAACATTTCTATGCGACTTCCGATATGCGTGAAAGTAGTTTCTTTTCGCAAACCTTGTCAGACAGCATCTTATGAACCTATCAGCCAAAATACCATGCTTCTGCGCGATTTGTTTTTTTCAGATGAAGATGTTGCTAGGTTTTAACAAGTTCGACCCTTGTGACTTAGAATGAGGGTAAATTTTTTTTGACACACCTTGCCGAGCTTCATCCTAGGAACCTATCGGGCAAATACCATGCCATAAGGCTGAGGTAAATCATGAGGCTGAGGTCTGTTATGTCATTAGGTTGTCTGTCATGAGGCTGAGGTCTGTCATTATGCTGAGGTCTGTCATGAGGCTGAGCTCAGTTAGATACTGAGGTCTTTCATAAGGCTGAGGTTTGTCATGAGATCCAGGACTGTCATGAGGCTAAGGTCTGTCATGAGGCTGAGGTCTGTCAGAAAAATGAGGTCTGTCATATAGTAAAGGACCGTAATGAGGCTGAGGTCTGTCATGCGGCCCAGGACTGTAATGAGGCCCAGGTCTGTCATGAAACTGGGGTCTGTCTTGAGGCTGAGCTCTGTCATGAGGCTGGGGTCTGGCAAGAGGCTGAGGTCTGTCATGAGACTGAGGTCTGGCAATTGGTAAAGGACTGTAACGAGGCCCAGGTCTGTCATGAAACTGAGGTCTGTCTTGAGGCTGAGGTCTGTCATGAGGCTGGGGTCTGGCATGAGATCCAGGACTGTCATGAGACTGCGGTCTGTCATGAGGCTAAGGTCTGTCATGAGGCTGATACATGTCACGAGGCTGATCTCAGATACTGAGGTCTTTCATAAGGCTGAGGTGAGGGCTGTCATGAAACTGAGGTCTGTCATAAAGTAAAGGACCGTAATGAGGCTGAGGTCTGTCATGCGGCCCAGGACTGTCATGAGGCCGAGGTCTGTCATGAGGCTGAGTCTGTCATGAGGCCGAGGTCTGTCATGAGACTGCGGTCTGCTATGCGGCCCAGGACTGTCATGAGACTGAGGTCTGTCATGCGGCCTAGGACTGTCATGAGGCCGAGGTATGTAATGAGGCCCAGGTCTGTCATGAAACTGAGGTCTGTCTTGAGGCTGAAATCTGTCATGAGGCTGAGGTCTTTCATATGGTAAAGGACTGTAATGAGGCCCAGGTCTGTCATGAAACTGAGGTCTGTCTTGAGGCTGAAATCTGTCATGAGGCTGAGGTCTTTCATATGGTAAAGGACTGTAATGAGGCCCAGGTCTGTCATGAAACCGAGGTCTGTCATGAGGCTGAGACATGTGATGAGGCTAAGGTCTGTCATGAGGCTGAGTCTGTCATGAGGCCGATGACTGTAATGAGACTGAGGTCTGTCATGCGGCCTAGGACTGTCATGAGGCCGAGGTCTGTCATGAGGCCCAGGTCTGTCATGAAACTGAGGTCTGTCTTGAGGCTGAAATCTGTCATGAGGCTGAGGTCTGTCATATGGTAAAGGACTGTAATGAGGCCCAGGTCTGTCATGAAAATGAGGTCTGTCATGAGGCTGAGACATGTGATGAGGCTAAGGTCTGTCATGAGACTGAGGTCTGTCTTGAGACTGAGGGCTGTCAAGAAACTGAGGTCAGTCATGAGGCTAAGGTCTGTCTTGAGACTGAGGGCTGTCTTGAGACTGAGGGCTGTCATGAAACTGAGGTTTGTCATATAGTAAAGGACCGTAATGAGGCTGAGGTCTGTCATGCGGCCCAGGACTGTCATGAGGCCGAGATCTGTCATGAGAATGAGGTCTGTCTTGAGGCTGAAGTCTGTCATGAGGCTGAGGTCTGTCATATGGTAAAGGACTGTAATGAGACCCAGGTCTGTCATGAAACTGAGGTCTGTCTTGAGGCTAAGGTCTGTCATGAGGCTGGGGTCTGGCATGAGGCTGAGGTCTGTCATGAGGCTAAGGTCTGTCATGAGGCTGAGACATGTGATGAGGCGGAGGTCAGTTATGAGGCTGATACATGTGATGAGGGTGAGGTCAGTCATGAGGCTGAGGTACAGAATTTGAAAATCTTGTTTCCATTGATAAAAGAATTATCGAGCGAATATCCGTGATTATCATTTTAGCCTTTTATTGAAACAATCTTATGGTAATAATAGTTTCCATGTACTTGATGTTCTCAAACATTCGTGTATGTATTCCTTATTCTGGCACGTTGACCTTGACTCCATGAAACTATGACGTCAAAATGGACACAATATAGGAATATAGAAATCTCTTCTGCACTTGGTCTGATTTAAGCAATTAACTTTTCTTATGTGGCGTTCATTGTCGATATAAATGCCATAGCAAGATATTCTAATATAGGTAAATTTACACAAACACTTGTTACCGACAATTTATTACGTCAAGTGGAAAAGCCGTTACGAAGGATAGCCGTCGGCGTTTCCATGTCAACAATAATGACGTCATATTGATCACAAGCTGGACGTCATACACAGTATATTTAAAAGATCTATTTCTTTTATATGATGCCGTTGTCATCGATTGTAAATATAACAAATACTACCCGTTGCAAGGTGTGTGATGTGGTTAGTAAAACCCATCACGTCAATTATTTTCCATTCACTACAATCAATTTCGATTTTGTCATGTTGCCTTATCTGAAGTTTTGGTGTCTCCTTACTTTCCCATCGTTTTTTTTTTCTTTTGTAGGCTTTGTCCTTATTTGGTGGTGGTACCAAGTATATGTATTAATTACATCTTACTTAAACATTTACATACACTTTTATAAACTTATTTCCACAGCCCTCCAGGATGCCTTCAACATGTTTGACATTGACGGGAACGGTTCCATCTCGGTCGAGGAACTGGGACTTGCCATGAGGTACGATTGGTGAAAACCCATCTTCAAAAGAAATCCGACAAATCGTGGAATGTGCCGATCTTGACCGTAGGTATTTGGAATGAGTCATCTTCTTAGAAATTGAACCACGTGTTAGTTTGTTTCCTTAGTACATTATCTGTAAACTGTTCGTTAAATATAAGGGAAACTGTCCTGTAAATATGGGGCGCTGTCCAGTAAATATGGGGCGCTGTCCGGTAAATATGGAGCGCTGTCCGGTAAATATGGGGCGCTGTCCGGTAAATATGGGGCGCTGTCCGGTAAATATGGGGCGCTGTCCTGTAAATATGGGGCGCTGTCCGGTAAATATGGGGCGCTGTCCGGTAAATATGGGGCGCTGTCCGGTAAATATGGGGCGCTGTCCTGTAAATATGGGGCGCTGTCCGGTAAATATGGGGCGCTGTCCAGTAGTGTCCAGTAAATATGGGGCGCTGTCCAGTAAATATGGGGAGCTGTCCTGTAAATATCGGGCGCTGTCCTGTAAATAAGGAGCGCTGTCCAGTAAATATGGAACGCTGTCCGGTAAATATGGGGCGCTGTCCGGTAAATATGGGGCGCTGTCCTGTAAATATGGGGCGCTGTCCGGTAAATATGGGGCGCTGTCCGGTAAATATGGGGCGCTGTCCTGTAAATATGGGGCGCTGTCCGGTAAATATGGGGCGCTGTTCTGTAAATATGGAGCGCTGTCCGGTAAATATGGGGCGCTGTCCTGTAAATATGGGGCGCTGTCCAGTAGTGTCCAGTAAATATGGGGCGCTGTCCAGTAGTGTCCAGTAAATATGGGGCGCTGTCCTGTAAATATGGGGCGCTGTCCTGTAAATATGGGGCGCTGTCCTGTAAATATGGGGCGCTTTCCTGTAAATATGGGGCGCTGTCCGGTAAATATGGGGCGCTGTCCAGTAAATATGGGGCGCTGTCCTGTACGCTTTTGCGAAGCGGGTGAGTAATGTTATGACCTGCTGTCCAGAAACCTATGTGGCATTGTTTTGTAAACATCTGGAAAGTTGTCCAGTAAAATTATGAGGCACTGTCAAGTAAAAGAATTGTGTACTAAAGAGACACTGTCCTGTAAAGTTATGAGTAGATGTTCATAGATATATGGAGAGTTGATAATAATAAAGTTGATGTCATAGACATTGAAAAAAAAATAAATTCTCAAAGTCGAAGATGTATCAAATACTACATGTTATATGGTGGGCATATAGTCGACACTTTGTCCATCCGTTTTTCGTTCGTCCTTTGCTTTCATTTAACGTGGACTAAACATCGGTCATACTGATAATATTGTAACGTGCACCCTTATGGTAGCGTGCGTGCACGCCGGGATCTCAATTTATACGGAGCTACCTGCTCCAGAGGCGATCGGGATCCCTCGGCTACCTGGCCGAACAGTTGAACAAAATAACACAAACTAACGAACAATATATAAATATACACTATAAGAGGATGGACAGTACCCCTGTCCTCCCTACACCGTCGCCTGGACGTAGATTACACGAGAAGGCTACAACACACCGCAACACTCAACAGCCTGCCGGCACGTCCTCAATCGCTGAGCTGACCACCGTACAGCTCAGACGTCGCCTGCCAGTGTCCTGCTATTACCAAGTACTAAGTAAGGTGTCAGTTCTTGTATCAGCAGTCAGGCGTACCAGAGCAGCCTTTGCAGGCGACCCCTTATCCAGGAGCTTCTGGAGTACCTGACCCGTCAACTTACCGGCACCAACCACATGTACAGTAACTGTTACCCGATTAGCCTTATTCGGGAGCTTCTGGAGTACCTGACCCGTCAACTTACCGGCACCAACCACACGTACAGTAACTGTTACCGTTACCAGAGTAGCCTCATTCAGGCAACCCCTTATGCAGGAGCTTCTGGTAGCAGCATGTAGGGAATGCTTACCTTATTGTATTCACATACATGCCGTTAATTCTATGGTCTTTTGTGTGTCAAAACTTCCAGCCCCAAGTACTGGTTTCATTTTAGCCTTTATTTTGCAGGTTAATAAAGCACCAAAAACTATATCTTACAACCGAAAATATGTAAGACATATATATTTATTCACTTATGAAGGTATGATTACATATTAAGAAAACACTAGTTCATTTACACATCAGTCAATCATCGTTAATTACAATAATTAGGTAGGTGGTGATGTTTCAAAAGTAGACGCATACAAAACGTTGAAGGGAGATAACTCTAACTGAATAAAATCATCACAGTATGTACAGCCTACCCCAAATTCAGGACCCAAATCCCCTTTATTACAGAGTTATTGCCTTTGGTAAACATTTTATGTTCAATAAAGATGTTTTAGGGGAACACGTATTAGCTTCACGGATACTCTCATTTTTTCAGGAAATGGAACGATCGAATTTGAAGAATTTGTTGTGATGGTTGCCGACCGATTAAAAGACTTCGACGCCATTTCAGAAATGAAGGAAGCTTTTGAGGTATTTGATCAGGACGGTGACGGGTTTTTAGATAAAGACGATATTCAAAGAGCAATGGAAGGACTGGGCGTGTCTTTAACAGCACCGGAAGTGACGCAAATGATGGAGGTGGCAGACGCTAACAAAGATGGCCGACTGGATTACAAAGGTAAAGATAATAGAAATAACAAGAAAAAACCGACATTTTGAATATCGAACTTAATATCACTAGTTTACTGGCATTTGGAAAGAAAAACATACTATACTTTTCATGAAAAAACGCTCATTTTTGTCTTAAATAATAAAGCGATATTCATTCAGCATCGAAAAATTTACCTATGAAATATTTGTGTATATATGTATATGTATATTATATATAGGTTAGGATAACCAGTAACAGTATAAAATTTGTAACAAGATAAAAGAAATTTACCAAAATTTAAAGTAAGACAACAAAAGAATCTAAG